AAGGGCTCTGATTCGTCCTTGAATGAAGACCGTAGAAACAATAGTTTTTTATTATATCGTGATGATGGGCTCTGGTTCATCCTCAAATAAATATTGTACATATAATACTTTTTTATCATACCTGGTCAAAAGGGTTCTTGTATGTTTTCATTTATTTCATCTTGATGGTTCATACATACAAACTTTAAAATTTTTTATGTTCATACCGGACAAAAATCAGGTATGAAATAATTTTGTACTGATTAACATTGGGTTCATACATAACAGTATTGAAATTGTTCATACGTATAAATATATGATCAAATGGCGTTGATGGTGAAATTTGAAAATTTTAGTTTTCTGAACAATTTTTCATGTCTTTTGCATCAAAGTTCGACAAAACACTGACACTTAATCTTTTTTTCATTTCATCTTCATGATTTGTAAAGGGCAATTGATGGAGAGAGTGTGAGAGAGTGTTTGAGAGAGATTTCTTCCTATTAAAGTGTGAAGGGTTCACAAGGTTACTCAAGGATAAGGATCGTTCTGTGTGATTTTTGTTTCTTCACTCTTTCTCTTGCCTTTCTAGATTGATTGTGTGAAGATCTTTCAAGAAGACCCGGTTCTCTACCGATACTTGGAGAGTGTGAATAGCCAAAAGTTCTCTGCCTACAGTTGGAGAGTGTGAACAACCAAAGAATCTCTACCTACACTTGGAGAGTGTAAATAGCCGAAGTTACTCTACCTACACTTGGAGGGTGTAAAAAGATGAAAGTTTTCTACCTACACTTAAATACTGTGAATAGCCGAAGGTTCTCTGCCTACACTTGGAGATTTTAAGCAACCGAAAGTACTCTGCGTACACTTGGAGGGTGTAAAAGGATGAAGGTTCTTTTCCTACACTTGGACAGTGTGAACAGCCAACGGTTATCTGCCACACCAGAGATTAGTGGAAAAGAGTTTTGTTTAGATTTCTTCACCTTATTGTGTGGGAAAAAGGAGAGTCACTTTGGTAATAGTGCAATACCTAAAGTGGGAGGCTTCAGGGAGTGGATGTAGGTCATGTTTGACCAAACCATTAAAAACTTTTGTGTCTTTTATTTCCACTGCCTTATTTACTTACTTACTGTAAGTTTTAATTTTTCGTTGTTGACAAATTTTTTTAAAAACTTTAAAATTAACTTGCTTCGAATCATGTATCGGTTTAAAATTTTTAATACAAAAGTAAATTTTTAATACCAATTCACCCCCCTCCTCTTGGTTAGCCTTAGGACATTAGTTTAGATCCAATAACCTATTCTAGATTCAAGAAGAATCAACATAGGCCCCATAAAAAGAAATTTAAATTCCTATGTACAAAAATTCTTATTCATAATAAAAAATATGTTATAAAAAAAGGGATTTCTTATGACCTTTGTACAAAGGTGTTCCATGGTAACATATAGGAAGAACCTAATATAGAAGTTAGTTCATAATTTAATATTATTATAATGCACTAGAGACATACCTTTGCCACCAATGAAAAGCTTTTGTTATTGTTAAAATTTAGACCACTTTTCCTTTCAAAGCTAGATATAAACTTCTTGACCTTCTTGACATATTTAATAAAACCATATTAAAATAATATAATATCATCAATAAAAAAAATGAGAAATATAAAGACCACAAGAGTTCCTATAGGAAAAGCATTTGTGTATAGAAAAAATTGTGAATAAATATCTATATTAATTGTCAACAAAAATAATGTAAAGATTAGTTTATAAAAGATCTCTTTGCTTAATATCCTGGGCACCTTTAAAAAATCCATGAGACTTTCCATTAATAAGAATAGAAAATTAGCAATTTTTAAAAATATTTATAAATATTTTATTATAATTCACATCAAAACTAAATTATTTCATAAAACTAAACAAAAAAAATCCAATTTATTGTCATAAGCCTTGGAAATATCTAAGTTTATGGATTAGATTATTGCCATTGAATTTTTTGTTAATTTCATGAAGCAATTTCATAGAAATAAGAATAATTTAAGCAATGTTCCTACCTTTAACAAACCTTCTTTTATTTTAAGATATTGATTTAGGGAGAAAATTAAATAACCTAGATGCTAATATTTTTGATAAAAGATTTTTAAAGGTAGTAGAAAGGCTAATAGGTCTATAATTATTCTATGATTTGGGGTTAATCTTTTTAGGGATCATTACAAGAAATAAGAAAACCTTTAAAAAATGTAGTTACAACTTTTTACAGATCCACTTTAATAATATTCCAAAAGTTTTGAACAAAATTTGTAGTAAAATCATTAGGACTTACCATAGAATCATTATTCATTCTCGTCGAAGAGTTGAAAATTTCAAGTTTATCAATAAAATTATAAATAGTATAATTGTCATCAAGACAATTAGAAAAATGAATAACATGAGCATATGAAATAACCAAAACATGCTTGCTAAAACCAAAAGATTTCTTAAAGATGGTAATAGCCAACTCAAAAACTATGGGTTGATTAATACACCAGTGATAAGTCTCCTATTTAATCCTATTAATGAAGGATTTAGTTTTTTTAGCAATAGCCACGGCATAAAAATACTTGGTGTTTTGTATTAATCATACTAGACGATGCTCTCAATTATCTTGGACAATCCTTTCATCGCTTTAAACTGATTGTATAGGGTCTACATCTTCATAGAGTACTAACAAGAATTCTATGAACTAATTGTACATGATGATCTTGGATCGAAATGGATGACCAAAGTTGAAAATTTTAAATATTGACCTTACTGAGAGGCTCTCTATTTAAATTCTAACTTGGTCTTATTTCAAAAAAGACTTTTGCTGCTAAGTGTCCTAAAAGAGAGCAAAGAGAGAGTTAAGCAGTGCTTTGGTAGAGAATAGAGGGAGAGTTGTTTGTTAGAGAGAGTTTGGAGAGATTCATAAGGTGGCTCTAGGAAGAACAACACTAGCTCATAATTCTCTGCCATCTATACGATGGAGAAAAAGGATTCCATGTTATCTGCCTTCACTAGGTGGGTAAAAAAGGATTCCAGGTTCTCTGTCTTCACCAGGAGGGTGAAAAAGAGTAAAGTCCTCTACCACATTAGGTTTTTGGAAGAGATTTCGTAAAGGCTTCTCCACCTTCCTGTGGGGTAAAAAGGTGAGACACAAGTTTTAGTGCTATACCTAGAAAGAAGGTTTCTAGAGAGTGGACGTATATCAAGTTGGACCAAACCACTATGAACTATGGTGTGTCTTTTATTAATATTTTTACATTTTATTTTTCTGCGATTTATTATGTAGTTAAAAACTATAATCTTTTTATTATTACATAATTTATTCTATTGTGAATCAAGGGATAAAGTTTTATATTTTTTAGATATTAAAAAAATTATAAAAAAACTTACCTTCAAAAGATTATGTTGGGAAAGTAACCCACGCAGCGTCTACAAACAAGAAATAGAAAATGAAATGAAAAAATAAAATATAAAGATTTAAGGTGAAAATTTTGAAATTTGAAAAAAACCCGAGCCACACAACAGCAAGAAATTCACTATTAAAATTTGAAATGTTTGTACATATTTCTTTCTTTTCACTCTCTCATTGTATCTCTTAATTCCATAAACCATTCTTTACACATAATAGATAAAGATACAAAAATAAAACTAACTAAGGTGCACAATACTTCAAGTTATACAAGGGAAATGAGAAATAAAAATGACCAGCCCCACTTTCAACATTACATCACAAGTTTTGGAGTTCCACGAGACTCCACTCTATGTCTCTTATCTTAGTAATCAAGTAGCTTCAAAATCTAGCTGCTGCGACACTCCTCTTTCTATCTATCTCCAACCCGACTAAATAACAACGCAACATTGTATGGAAAAGGAAAAAAATTGGGTGCTAAGCAATAGGACCCAAGTACATAGAGAACTCGTGCAACCCCCTAACGAGTTCAACCAACATAATTAAGGTCCCATATAATAATACAACTTGACTTATCAACACAATCAGATTCAACATAGAGCTAAAAATTTGTTATATCTGTTAGTTAGATTTTTTATTTTGTCAAATAAATTACCCATTTTGTAAAAAATCTAATTATTTGATATTAAATCCTCTAATTAACTTATAATTATCTTGTGCCCTAAACTAAATTTTTACTCAAAATACTTTCCAAAAATTCTATGTTTGGAAAGCTACAAGCATATTCTAACTTTTCATAACTCAGCATTAGTTGTTATGTTTATACATGTTCAAACATAAGGCCAAATCTGATGGCTGACACCTTGCAAAAAAAAATTGATTGATAGCAATGCAATTAATAACTTTAGATTAAACTAAAACTTAAGAAAAAAAATCAACAAGTTGGTAATATATGAACAAGCTCAAGAAATAGTCATTTGTTTCCTTCTTTATAGGCCCAAACCTATATTTGATCTCTTCCTCAAAAATCTTATCTTCCCTTAAAATAATTACATATAATATAAACTAAATTCATAATAACGCCATTATGCTTAATAATTCACTGTCTATAAAGCCCCAGCTCTGCTTGGCTTTCACCTTCAATTTATCCTAAGCAGAGGCTCAAAGTTCTATTCTCATGGCTACTTGTTTATCTCTACTCTCCTATTATATTCTTCTCATTATGTTCTTCTTTTTTCTTCTAATAGAAAAAGAATTTCTAGTATCAACGCAAAAGCTTGCTGGAGAACAGCATGTCATTGACGTCAAGTCATTATTTTTGAGCAACTCTTGCTCCGTGCCTAATAAAAGTTTGTGAAATATTTCAATAATTTCTTAATACCTTATTACATATTATTTTTTTTATATAATAATTAGAATAATAATACATCATACATAAATTAAGTTCATTTGATATATATTTCAAGCTTAAGCTCATTTGATAAAAATCACGAAATTAAAATATTGCAAAAGAAAAAAAAACTCAATACTTACAATAATTAGTTGTTTCAATTTTGACAGGCACAAGCCCTTCCAAGCTCAACGTGGTCCACTTGCACGGCATGTGCTCGTCGTGGAAACACCAAGGAAATCCGTCACCTGTGAAGCTCTTTCGTCAGGACCAAGCTCGCGTAGACTACATCCAACGCCGAGCATCCAATGCCACCACCCTCCAAAATCCTATTGGCGACTCTCTTTTGGCAAAAGTTCCGACAATCATCGATTATGATATTAGTGCCTATAGCTATATCGTCAACATAGGATTAGGCACTCCTACTAAGTTCTTCTCACTTTTGCTTGACACAGGTAGCGAACTCACTTGGACCCAATGTGTCCCTTGCGTTAACTGTTATTACCAAAAAAACCCATTTTTTGACCCAACACAGTCCTCCACCTTCACGAACATCCCATGCAACTCCAACTATTGTACCCAACTTCCTCGATTTGATTGCTCCTCTACCTTCACCTGCCTATACGAGCAAATATATTTTGACTATTCTAAAACTAATGGTTCCTTCGTTAATGACACTTTACAATTATCTAATGATATTATTTACGAGTTCCTCTTTGGCTGTGGACATAATAATGCTGGAACTTTTGGACATGCAGATGGGTTATTAGGCCTTGGACGGGGTGCTGCTTCAATTATTTACCAGACAGCTCAATCATATAACAAAATATTCTCATATTGTCTACCATCAGGGCCCAATAAAATTGGATATCTTGAACTAGGTAGCTCAGTACTTGGTGTGAAGTATACATCGATGCTAACCAACCCAGAACTTCCATCCTTCTACTTCCTCAATCTCACTGCCATTTTAGTTGGCGGTGAAAGGATTGACCTTCCACCTAATGTATTTAGTGGACCTAGAACTATGTTGGACACTGGCACAATATTTGGCCACTTGCCACCCACTGTCTACTCCGCCCTCCGCAGCATTTTTCGAAAAGAAATGAGCTATTATCCGATGGCCCCGCCAATATTCAATCTTGACACATGCTATGACTTCACTAACTACACAGATGTGGTGGTGCCAGAGATTTCCTTGATCTATAATGGCGAAGTGACGACTGACTTAGATTTCTTAGGGATATTATACTTTTTTAGTAAATCTCAAGCCTGCTTATCCTTCGTTTCAAATAAGGATGATAGTACGATTGTGATCATCGGTAATATGCAACAACGTAGATTAAATGTAGTCATTGATGTGGGGAACTTACAAATTGGATTTGGGGCTAACGGTTGTACCTAGTGATGGATTGAACAAGATGATAAGGTTTAATGAAATGTATTGATGTAGCTAAATTGAATAGTTTATTTCATGTTGGTTATAAAATTGGGGTGTGCGGAATAATAAATGTAGTCTTTAAAAAAGTTCATGTGTATCCATGTTTTATGAAATATTTAAATATTAAAGGAAGGCAACTATATCTGAGTTGATGAAAAGAATTAAGATGTGTTTAATTTCTTTAAAATTAAGGGAGAATGATGAAATTATTTGTTGGAGGTTATAATTTCTTTGCAAAAGAGCTTATTCTTAAAAAAAATGAATACTGCTTGTGATGTTTTTTTTTAATGTCATATCCTTACAAAGTAATACCATTACATATTTTTCTTTAACTTGATCCTTTTGGTTCTCATTTTGGATTGAGTTTTGTTTTTTGTTATGTTCTATAATTGGAAGAATTTAAGGCTTATGAGTTTTTCCAACCCATTAGGCCATACAACCTAACACCTTCAATTTTAGATTCAACCAATTCAATATTCCTTAAAAATGAGGACATTTGACTAATTTATGAAAATTCACATACTAATCACTTGTGCAACCTTAGAACACAAGACCTTTGGTTGAAGCCAAAGATCTCAACCAATAGATCATTGAGATTTCATAATAATCAGTTATGTGATTTATATTTTTATAATTTTTATGATTTTTTTTATAAATATTATGCCCCCACTCAAAATTTATTTTGACTACACCATTATACGCATTCATCATGTATTTGTATGTTCATCCATAAATATTATACAATTCTTAAACCTATGTTCATCCATAAAAAGAAATTGTTCTAATCTCCACCTTAGGCTTTAGCAAGTGGGGCCAAAGGCATTGACATTGAAGAACTTTCCAAGGTGTCTTAAAAATTTTTTCACCTCATTTGATTAGTGATATAATTTTATATGTTACAAACACATTATGCCTTTTTAATAAAATAAAATGCCAAATTAAGGGGGCATGAGTATACTAATACTCACTTTTGATTACTTTTTTTAAGTTTTTATACATCTTAAGATTTCAATTATATAAATAGAATTTTTATATTAAAAAATTAATTTATGAACCATCTAAAATTTAAGAATTTAAAATTATAAATAGGTAATGAAGAAATATTGACAAAAATTTTAAATTAATTAATTTATGTTTTTGATTAAAAAAATTATAACTCTGCCACTATCAAAGAGAAACTCTATATCACCAATAAGCTCCTTATGATATTCATTTAGAGCACTAGTATTACACAATAGCACTAATTTTATTCCTCGATGGATGTATGCTTATCAAAGACTATTAGGACTACCAAGGTGTCGTTGAGACCTTCTTTTAGTACATGGAGGTTGAACTGGACAATTAAATGAAGTATGTTATTTGCAGGTTGAGAGATGGTGCTAGTGCTAAGTGGGCACAATTTTTTTCAAATGAGACACAAAGAATGGAAATGACGGATTTTGAGTTATTATAAGATGAAATAACTTTCGAGGGCTCATTTACTTCCAACTTATTTTGAGCAAATAATTTACTTGAAATATCAAAATATTTGTAAGAGGTCATAGTTCGTTCGGGATGTTAAGCCCTATGAACTTAGTCCCAAGCTAACCAAGAGGGGGGTGAATTGGTATTTTAAAAACTATTTTCACAAAGAATAAAAATTGCATAAACCAAAACACACCACTGAAATAAATGCGGAATTAAAAAGCGCGGAAGCAAGAAAAAGAACACAGAAATTTATAGTGGTTCGGTCAACTCGACCTACGTCCACTCCTTGGAGGCACCCCCAAGTATTGCACTACAAAATGTGACTCTCCTTTATCCCCCACGGCTAGGCAGAGAAGCCCTCACAAGAACCTCCTTTTTGCCACCCCGGCAAGGCAGAGAACCTACCTCCTTTTGCTTCCTCCTGAAGCTGGCAGAGAACCACAACCAAAAGCAAACTCCTTACCTCTACCGACCCTTCCACAGATTAGAAACTTCAGACGAAAGACAAGCAGAGCGATCCTTGAAGCAACCCTTGTGAATCCCCTCACAAGCTCCCCCTCACAAGATCCTCTCTCTCTCCCTCTCTCTCTCTTTCTCTCCTCAAGGTCTTCTCAGGTCAAGGCAGCAGCCAAAGGTCTTGAAAAACGTTGAACAAGAGCTCTTTAAATAGAAGAGCTCAAGAGGAGCTCATTAATTGCAAGTTGCCGACATTATCGTCCAGGCCGATATGGACATCGGCCTGGCCGATCAGTACAAAACTCAGAAGATCGGCCAGAGCATCGCCCTGGGAATAGTCCTGGACGATTGAAATTTTGGCTTGTCGCTCGGCCGCTCTCCTGATCGTGCCGTTGATTAGTTCAAATCAGGAGGAAAAATCGTCCCTGTAGCACGCCCTGTTTTGACTTCTGGCCCGATATTTATCGTCCTAAAGTAACTTAAGGTTTTTGACTCAAATTATCCCGGCCGATCCTGGCGATCGTCCAAGACAATATGATCGTAATCAATTCTCTTTAATTACTCATTTGATTTCCTTGTCAATTTAGGCATAATTTGTGTAATTTCGTCCAGGCGATCCTTGAACTGTCTGGCCCGATTTAATGTTAAAAATACAGTATGCCTAATGTGTCTATGGCAGGCTCTTCCTTCTTCTTTGAGCTTAATCGTCCTGGCCGATACACATATCGTCCAGGCCGATATGTTAATGAGGCTGATTAATTAAGAATCCTGGATTAGGAGTCTCTGTTTATAACTGATCGTGTCCCAGGACGATCAAGGGATCGGCTTGGCCACATGTGACGCAAAAACAGAGGATTCTAGAATCACTCAAGTGTTTGGTGTGTGTGTAGGGTTACTTAAGTATCAGTCTTTTGAACAATACAAAGAAGTCTTAAAAGGTGGAAATTAAATACATACTTGACGGTCACCACTAAACCTACCTATCAGAACTGTTCTTCTTGATCGTCCGATCTTCGATTCCTGCAAAGTTTAGAGCAACAACGTAGTACAGAGAAATAGTATTTGTCAACTATGCAAAACTATAAGTCGATGAATAAAAATTAGATTTGCAACTAGAGGCTATTATGTAAGTGAATTATACAAAAGAAGTTCTTAAAGCGTGAGTGCATGGAACATCTAAATCAGACCCATCTTCAAATCATTTTGCATGATATATTTGAGGTCATAACATGATGTTAATGCACTAAATTGGATTAAGTTCAAAGTGTCATTATCTAATCTTATTAATTTTGGTGTTGTAAGCCAAATACAACTTCACTCGGCATTCATAATTTGCATCAAACTCATAACCATAGTCACTGAATTAGCTGTGGAAGGTAATAATCCAATAACACTACTAAATTCTTGTAGCGTCGGCGGCAAACCAATCCACCCAACCATCTCAAGCTATGATTTAATCTGGATATATAAATGGAGACCAACCTTAGAGTATAGACCTTCTTAATTGATATGCCTATTTGAACATGTTAGGACAATTCAATATGCCTTATTTTTGTTTAGTTGCTTTCATTTTTAGGTTTTGAAGGGATGTAGATTGCCCAATGTAGTCTTCAATGTAACATTGCTCCAGCAGATGATCATGACTTGCTTGAAGTGGTACCATAGTTGTCAATACACATATATATATAAAATTAATAAAATTGATTCAAAAATAGTGAATATAGAAGAAATTTATGATTGATAAGATAATCAATAATCTTGATAATTTTTTTTAATTTCATAATTAATGTAATCTTATATTATATGTACCTTATGTGGAGTATTTCCTATCTGATCATTATATGAGCTAATACTTTTTCTGATTTTTTAGATTTTTTAATGAATTTTCTTGTCAATTTGATTAAAAGATTTATTTTAATTTCAAGGTTAAATATTGAATGCATTGTTTAATTGAATATTATTTATTTTTATTATTTATTGTTATTTTATGAGTTTAAAAGAAATTTATGATGATGATGTGCTTTATTATATTATATTATTTTATATTATTATTATTATTATTAATTATTTATATATTATATTATTTTGTATACTTGTTGTTTTTTTAGTTCTAATTTATTAAATTTTAGAGGTGCACATGAAGGGTTTTCTAAAATATTTGTATAGATATTATTAGTTGTAACTTTATGTGTTTATAAAAAAGTATGTGGGGACTTTTTAATTTAATTGAGTTTTTAATGAAGTGTTATTAGTACACTTATAGTCAAGTAATGGTTGGAGCCATTTGCTTGTTTAGAACCAAGTACCACACTCTATGGAGACCTCATAGGACTAAGAATTTGAACCTAATTCCTAGGTTGACATGTATGATGTAGCTAGGGGGAATTAGTAGGTTTAAATGCAGTTACGTGGAGTTGGAATATTGCTATTAAACTTATTCCAGAGAAGGACCGTAGGTCATATTGACCCAAAAACACTATAAATTCGAGTGTGTTCATTATATATATATATATAATATATATATATATATAGTATATATAATATATATTATATATATATTATATATATATATATTATTATATATATATATATATATATATATATATATATTTATGCACTTAATTTTTATTCAATTATATGTGTGGTTGAGTAAAAACCCTGCAATAAGAACAAACTTGAGTTAGAAAGAGAAGTTCCGGGAAATTCTAGAGAGGGATGTTTGATTTTAAATTTATGTCTTAGGTTTTTTAGGCGGGGTTTATGAGGATCGCCGGACCTCCAACCTTAATTGGCCGTCGTCCACCACTGGGTGGGCGATGATGAAAGTTGGCCCAGTGAAACTAAGATCTGGATAGATGTAAGGCGTTCTTGAAGCTCAGAAGAAAATGAATAATTGTGCTTTGGTTATTAAGGAAAATGTTGCAATGGGTTATGTTAATATCTCTCCAGTGGATGGAAAAGGTAAATCCATTGCTATGTATGTTGATTGTAAGACACCTCACATTTCATTTTCAAAGGATTTTCTGCCATTCAAATTTGAC